AGAAATTTCGTCTGGCTACGATCCTTTGGTAGGAAGCTTTTATCATCTTCTAAAATTAAGGTTACGCGTAAACTATAAAATGACTAGCTCTGGCATAAACTGAAAGCATAATGTCCCCTGGATTGTCAAATTGTTATTTTTATTTATTGCAAGTGGTCTGCGAGAAATAAAAATTGTCACTGGCTTGTAAGTGATTGTTTTTTCCTCACTTCTCAGTGCCCTTTTTAGTGCAGTGTTTATTCCCTTGTAAGTTGTTGTTGTTTTGGGATAATTAACCCTCTTGCTTACCGAGTCAATTCAGTATGGTGACACGTCAAGTACAGCTCCCTTAACTGCCGGGTCCTTGGATCAATGAAATCCTATAATTGCTAAAGAATAAAATCTCTTTACATGGTTTGACAATATTTTTCTTTCACGATGTTTCCAAAATAAAATTTAGGAATTGCCTTTTTTAAAAACGTTCCCACTCTTAGGAGAGAAAGGCTCCAGGGGGAATTCGTGAAAAAAGAGCATAAACGTCAGTCACAATTTTTTTTTTTTATTAAGTTCTTAAGCTCTCAAGGGATCTTTAAACCAATAAATCAAAAATTGAGCGTATGAACATATTTTGAATAAATACTTTCATGAAGCACGATCAGCAACCGTTGCAAGTTGCAGCTAAATTAGAATTGTGAACTTCACACATCTAGTAAAATTAAGAGTAAGCAATAATGTATAATCAAGACGTTACCTCAGTTAGGTGCCTGCAAAGCCGTGGTTGAATCTCGTGCAAAAAGTCCACAGCAGTTCGCGTTAATTGACCAAAACCAATTTTTTTATTATTTAAAAGTAAAATCCGCCCGGATTAGAATATTATCTTTGTTATCAATGCGTTTATTCGATTAAGCTCCCACCACTCTCGACGTGTTTAGTGGCTAAGAAAGCTTTTAACTTGGACATTTAGAATAGATCTTATCACCGACACAAATATGATGATATTATGATGTTAATCTGTGTTGGCTTTGTTTTGTAAGACTTCCCAAGGACATGTTGATTTTTATCGGCCTACAAATTCCATTTTCAGGGCATCCGGCTCACCAAGCACGTATCGTTGAACAACATGATAAGAGCAAAATATTTGTAGTTCTTCTCCACTCCTTCCCCCCTTTCTGACATCTTATGTCATGGATGAACAAACAAGAAAGTTAAGAGTTAATTTCAACTTTCTTCAATCCGTTATTTACTAAAACTGACGATTCTGAGGACTCAACAAGTCTTCAAGATAAGGTACACTGCCAAGTGATTTTCTATCGTAAAGACAACTTTATATTTTTCTTTTCCAGAACAGCTTTGGAACATACTTACTTGGAAACTCGTTTTCTCATCGATCAACTTATTGCCCGAATCATGGATATACTTCAAACTTAACGTTAACTTTCTATGTTTTTTTTTAAAGTTATTTTAAGTTTGACTAATTTTTGTATTTTTCTCGGCTATGGAAGTTCAACTCGGCCGCCGCTTATGGAAAACTCCTTTTCCTCAGTTTTCTCAGGTAAATGAAAAGATACGCGATAATGCCAGTTCTTGGTTCCCCAAATTCAAGTTGAATATTCTACACGGGTAGTATTCTTTGCCGTAAGAGACTTTTTAATCAATACGCAAAATTAGTAAACAAAATATGTGTTTGGTTTCAATCAAACGTCAAGACGCTAACGGAGAATCATGTCAGGGAAAAACTGCGACCAGGGCATATTCATTAACCCACAATTTTAGGTTGTGAAATATTGTGCGGTATGCATTATTTAAAGTTCAAATTTATATTAAAATATTATGGAATATCGAAAATCGAAAAATCGTTCTGATGTTAGTTAATCAAAGTCATTCTGAGACGTTTGTTTGCCTTAAAAAAAGGACATCCTTTTATCTGAAAACGATTGGCTTTTTATATATTTTCCATCTTCAATTTAAAATATAAAACTTCAGTTCCATTTTGTAAGTCAGTCAAAACTGAAATTTATTTTTACGTAGCATTATTTAACTTGTTTTCAATGAATTTCCTTTGTTCGGCATTTTCAACAATATCTGTTTATATATGTATTAATTTTTCTTATCCTTCTTAAAATGTACACCGAGTCTTTTTCGAAGATATAGTGTTTAAGACTCTGGAACTTCTTATTACAATTTTCTCTAATTTTAAGTGACATTTTTGTACTATTTTTCAATTTTCTTTAACAGATACGTCACGGAATTAATTACATTAAGGAGCATATACTTCCTTTTTAACATATTGTGAACAAAGTTACGTTTATGTTAACTTGGTTGTATCTCCGCTCTCGATATAAGGAAACTTTAACAACCCTCAACTTTTATGTTTCAAATAAAAGCGATTCTATGGGGTTGTTTAGAACTTTTTCTTTCCTTTTTCATTAAAACTATAATCTCAGCACTAAATTACTTTATCGTCAGTCTCACAGAAAAGCTTTTCGTTTGGTTTAAGTTTTACTGAGGAAAAGAAGACCAA